ATCAGGTTTTAATGTGTTCAAAAGTTTGAGTGATTCAACCAGGCTAGAATACTAGATAACTGGAAGTAGTCAATATCAACATCTGAACCAATGTTTTGTCTTATTAGGTACTCATTAACATGGTATATCCGAAATTTTGATGAAACTGATGTTCCTTGTAGGATTCGAACATACCCACTTTTCTTACTGACTATTTCTAACCACTGTAATTTGTTATTAGGTTGAAAGTGAATATATTTTTTTCTGGTTAGCGTTTATTTTTAGCGAATTAGTTTTCGACCGGATGGGGTCACTAACTCCATACTCAACTCTCCTCCTTTATCCGGGCTTGGGACCAATATTGGCCCCAGAGGGGCTCCAGGTCGAGTTTATTGAATTGAAAGGTTTATAAAAATCATGCAGTAAGAAATGCAAACTAGAATCTATTGATATATTAGTCTAAGTGTAGCCTATTCACTGACATCATTCATAATGTAAACTACTGAAGACTTCAATATTAATGTTCAGCTACAATATAGATATTGACTTATATTAGTTATCTAGTTTAAATGAGTAGTTTATGATACAGCCTACAAATATTTGTTTATCTTTTGTAAGGAACTTATATGATCATGGTAAGCAACAAAATCTAACTAACAATACTTTAATCATATAAATTAGCCGGTTGATATTCCTGCTACCAGGTGAACTTCAGAATACTTGTTAGAGAAAGTATAAATTATTATGAAAAAAACAAACAAACAAATTAATAACAAAATTAATAATAATAATAATAATAATAATAGATAAGACAACAACTTGATAATGATATTGATACCCGCTTAATCATGTCAATTCCTCTTCTCATGTCTCTCATATTATCTTGACTTTAGTTTATTTATTTATTCATCTGATACAAGTCAGAATATATATTGATATATATTTATATATTAAATCAACCCTGATATATTATTAATGAAATTTATATACCCTTAGGGGTGGGTAGGAAAATGGGGTACAATGATTGATTTATGACACATATACCTAGGCGGTATTCATTGAATTTATTTTATTTATACATTTGTATATATATATATATATATATATATATATATGTAAGGGTGAATGTGTGTATCAATGGACCCCCTATGGCAAAATGTAATCAATCAACTTATATACATCCATCTATCTATATATATACATATATACAAGGATATAAAAATTCATTGTTGACATTTAGTTAAATTCAAAATGATTGTTCACAAGAGTTATAATTAATTACATCTTCATTTCTTAATATGATCAACTGTATATATATATATATACATATATATATATATATATATATATATATATATATATATATATATATTTGTTTATACTTTCGTTATAGTAAAAATATATTCTTGTTACACTCATTGACTACGACTTTCCTATGATAATATATATCGTTTACATTTGTTTGATAGTAACGAAACACTTACTTACTTACTTACTTACGCCTGTTACTCCTCGTGAAGGAGCATATGCCGCTCACCAGCATTCTCCATCCAACCCTGTCCTGGGCAATCCTTTCAAGCTCTTTCCAGTTCTTATTCATCTTTTTCATATCTGCTTCTATTTCCCGACGTAACGTGTTCTTTGGCCTTCCTCTTTTCCGCTTCCCTTCAGGATTCCAAGTTAGCGCTTGTCTCGTAATGCAGTTTGATGATTTCCTCAATGTATGTCCTATCCATTTCCATCGTCTTTTCCTAATTTCCTCTTCAGCTGGAAGCTGGTTGGTTCTCTCCCACAAAAGGCTGTTGCTGATTGTATCCGGCCAATGGATGTTGAGTATCATGCGTAGACAGCTATTAATAAATACCTGTACCTTCTTGATGGTGGTTGTTGTAGTTCTCCAAGTTTCAGCTCAGTACAGTAGAACTGCCTTGACGTTCGTATTGAAGATTCTGCCTTTGATATTGGTTGAAAGTTGTTTTGAGTTCCATATGTTCTTCAGTTGAAGGAATGCCGCTCTAGCTTTGCCAATCCTCGCCTTGACGTCTGCATCTGAACCTCCTTGTTTATCGACGATGCTTCCCAGGTATGTGAAGGATTCCACGTCTTCCAGAGTTTCGCCATCAAGAGTGATTGGATTGCTGTTCTCCGTGTTGTGTTTGAGGACCTTGGTTTTCCCTTTGTGTATGTTGAGGCCTACTGATGCAGAGACTGCTGCTATGCTGGCTGTCTTTATCTGCATTTGTTCGTGTGTATGTGATAGGAGGGCTAGAGTAACGAAACACAACAAGAAGTAAATACTAAGAATAATCTGTTTTATTTTGATGGAGTTTTATTCTCTAAGCTGGATGGTTTAGTCGACCAAACTACCTGAGTTACAAATCTTCTCTACCCTCTGAAATTTTGTTTGATTAAAATGATAAACTAATGATCTAGAGATTAAGTATTCATACGTTGATCTAATGATCTTGGGTTCAATTATTAACTGTGTATTCATCAATGTATACTATTGAAGAGTTTTATAATAGAATGAAATAACCGTTCAATGTTTTCAAATTATTTAACATTGATCAGTTTGTGATTTCAGTGAAATTCGGTCATTACTAGAACAATAATTTTTGTGGTTGCTGTTGTTGTTGTTGGTGGTGGTGGTTTTATAGAAAAACAAAATGACTGAAGTGATCCTTAATTGTTTTATGTGTCCTTCATTTTCTATGATTTTGCTGTTCATTTAGTGGGTACATGATCAATATTAAAGTGTTATTTACATTGTTAGATAGCATTACATTTATACAGTTTTTTTTCAATAGTTGAAATCATGAATCAATTGAAGCTAGACCACCATGGAAAACCTGGAAGCACTGAACGGCCGTTTCGTCCTAGTATGGGACTCCTCAAATCTTGAACTACCCTGTAATGAATATTTTAATAATGGATGATTAAAGATAGTTTCGTCCCCTAAAACTAAAACTTTTTTATGGAAATAGTACTCTCATATACACCAATCACTCACCAAATAAATAGTAAAATGACAGAAAATGATAGATCCGACATCGTTAGTGAACATTGAAAATTTCGTAAATAATTTCAGTGAATATTACTTAAAACCTACTAAATACTACTTCAAAACGGAACAATCATTTATATCGGAAGGGGGTCTATATATATAGACTGATATGATATCTAGACAACATTTAATATAATCTTATCGAATTAATCATGTTAATATGTTTTATAAGCAATGATGGATAGTAGCTGACGAAACGCGCGTCCTGGATTCGACCTTTGCTTATAAAGCTTATGACCTAAGAAAATATCGAGGCAATCCGCATAGGATGTACGTATATCGACAAGAGATTGATCATTTGTAGTCCTAAATAACAATAGGAAAATATAAATAAAGCAACATCAAGTGAATGTCAATATGTTGTTTATTTACTAATATGAAACTAGAACAGTTTCTATTTACTTATATAGTAGTATCTTTCAATTATTGATTAAAATTAGTGTTAGAAGGGCTTTTTGTAGATATAACCGTAATTTCAATAGTTGAGGTCATGAGTCAGTTGAAGCTAACCATCATGGAAAACCTGGAAGCACTGGATGACCGTTTCACCCTAGTATGGGATTTCTCAGCAGTGCGCATACGCTATCCAGCCTCGCGAGATTCGAACCCAGGACCTATCTCACCAGTGGAGTTCATCCGGGTCTGTTGTGAGATAGTAACTCACTGATGATAATGGTGGATGTGTGGCTCAATTTCATGGATTGTTTGAAGTTAGACATTAACACCGTTGGATGGCGGTTCAGTGATCTAGTGGTTAGGCGCTCACGTGCGAAACTGTTAGGTCCTGGATTCAAATCTCTCGACGCGCGATCATGAATGCGCATTGTTGATGAGTCTCACAATAGGAGGAAACGGCTATCCAGTTCTTTCATAATGATTTAGCTTCAATTGATTTATGATCTCAAGTATTGAAATTAAACTTAATATGTTTAATAGAAATGAATTCTTAAATCATAACAGTCGGAAAATAAATTAATTCTCTGAAAATTCCAAATATATCTGGTTAAGATTAAATTAGCATCGATTCGAATGAAAATTCAGCTAATCACCATTTTCAGCTATCATTAATATTGTCATCAAAGAATTCTATTCAATGAATATTCTTCTCTTCAAATCCTTTTTTAATCCTATTCTTGTCGTAAAGAAAATTTTAATATGTATATATTCCTTTAATAATGAATAATCATTTCATTGTTGTTAATCTCCGTCTCTCTCTCTCTCTCTCTTTCCTCCTTTCCTCTCTCTATGTTTCCTACTTTTCTTCATATCCTATACAAAGAGCATTAGAAACTACCTGTCTAATTTTGACCTAATCTAATCATTATTAAATAAGCCTTGTCATTTGCACAACTTACTATTTATTGAATATTCTTTCTCGTTTATATATTGTTTGTATAATGTTATAAACAGTAATGTCAGTAACAATAGGAATAGTAGTTGTTGTAGTATAGAGAAAAAAAAAAGTGAAGAGGTTTCGTTTTCTTGAAGAAAAATCTAAAAGAATATATAATACAAGTTTTGTTCATTATTCCCATGTTTTCAATTAATCTATTTATTACATACTATACATTAAGGCTTGTAATCTATTCAGACTTTATGGATGTATGTGTGTATATATGCGTGTATGCTTCTCTGTGTGTTTGTGTGTCAACATCAGTATTATCATTATTAGAATGAAGTAATCATTTATAACACAATGAGAACTTGAATACGATACACATTTTTCCTTTTCTTTTTGTATATATGCTTACCTATCTAACTAACTAACTATCCTACCTCTTACATGTACACACATATTTATGATGGTTTCTGTGTGTTTAGTAATATTGAACAGGGAACTAAAAATGATGCCAAGCCTTAGAGATTAATAGAATATTTTGAAAAGTAAAGAACATCCATCCTATTACATTCATTTCATTGCTTACCATTTTCTATTACCTATTCATTTTACTTAGTCATGTCACAATTTAAACAGAACATAAGTGATTTTAACAATAGTAAAGAGATTAAACTATGTAAGTGTTATTAATATTAGTTATAGTGTTCATAATGGTTCAGCAGGCGATAATCTCTAACATAATTTACAATAATGTAATTGATCATGCTGTTTTTTGAAGTGTTTAGATGCATGTATGTAAGTAATTAAGTAAGTAGGTAAACAGTAAATATTTAGCATTTACATATTTGCTTTAATATAACATTAATCAAAAGAATGATCCTAATGTCATAAAAATAATCAAAAACAAATTAAGGTTTATGTAATGTTAGAAATAGTCATCACAAATCATCATCATCATCATCATCATCATCATCATCATCATCATCATCATCATCATCATCATCATCATCATCATCATCATCATCATCATCATCATCATCATCATCATCATCATCATCATCATCATCATCATCATCATCATCATCATCATCATCATCATCATCATCATCATCATCATCATCATCATCATCATCATCATCATCATCATCATCATCATCATCATCATCATCATCATCATCATCATCATCATCATCATCATCATCATCATCATCATCATCATCATCATCATCATCATCATCATCATCATCATCATCATCATCATCATCATCAAGCCTTCTGAAGAAACTAATTGTTATGTCTGAATAATGTCTTATTTACTCGAGCAGTATACATACTTGCAAAAGGATAAAGATTTTCAGTAGCGAATCGTATGTCAATGGAAATCTAAGAGATGAGCTGTCAGGATTTGCTACCGTTAAATGAGTAAATTACACTCCTAGTTCTTTATTTCATGTTAAGTGCATGTTGTATGCACGACTAAAACATTGTTAATCCAGAATTACGGTAGAATAGTATATTAAGCTGATCTCCATTGGCTATTAATGTTTAGTTTATGGGATACAGTTCCACTATTTTTCGAGAATAGCAAAAAGATGTGTGTTAGATTTTGCTGAGGAGTAACTAGGTATGAAGAGAATTATCAAAATTATTGTGAAAAGCCATAATTAATTTCTAATCATGTAGAAAGTGATATAGAAGTAACGGATGATATTCGTTCATGGATGCAGTATGTAGCTATTTGACCAAAGTGAGAAATTTAGATCAGTGGATTTCAGCCTTATAATTTAACGGTAGTGCATTCATTTGCTGAACTTTGAAAATCTTAGAATAGATCAGTAGTGGAGTAGTGGTATGCCCTAAAATATAATGTAAATGTTTAGTATTTTCTAGCTTTCAGTGGTTATCAGTCCATGACTCAATCGTTGAGTCATATGATGACTGGGGTATGAAAAGTGAAAAAATCATGCTTTCAGTTTCGTGTTTAATGGAAGATAAATTAAACTATGGCATGATAAGTACGTTTGAGTGTTAAAATGTATTTGGTTACAACAGTACAAATAATAATCCTATGGTAAGTTTTCCTTTGTAACCAAAATAAAAGTTGGATTTGAAAACAAATATATTTGGGAAATGCTTGTCTTTTTACTTCAGTCAGTCAGTCAGTCAGTCAGTCAACAACGTAGAACTTCGTAGGTTCGTACATCAGTTCGAGTTGCCATACCACACTACATTGGCACAGAGATACAATTGTCAATTCAAATCACATAGTGGTAGAGGTACTAAAAGTATAAGCAGTAATCGGAAACATCAGGGTTTGAAGATGTTAGTCAAGGAGTATAATGCAGTGAAATAAATTTGGAGAGAGAAAAAATAAAGAGACATGGAGAATTCAGAAGATTAGAATTCGAGAGAACAGAAAGAGTGGATGCATCTGTGCCGTCGTAAACGATTTTGAGCCATGTCATTCAAGATCTCTAACCATCGGTCGCTATCATCTCGCGGTCCCCAACCAAGTAGTCTACATCTACCAACATGGCCCAGTCCACTTGTCAGTGACTTCATGGATTTGTGCCATGTTTTGGTCTGGCCGTCCCTAGCTTTCTTCCAACCTACTCTTACATCATAAAACATAGCACATCGGAGCAGTCGGTGGTCGGGCATATGTAACACGTGTCTCAGCCATCTCAACTGACGAAGTTTCACTACTTCATAAATTGACTTGCAATACTTACCTAGTATCCGTTTCCTAACAACTGCGTTACTTACTCCGTGATCCCAGGATATACTAGCAATGTTTCGAAAACACCTATGATCGAATACTGGTGACCTACGAATATCCTCTCTATTCGAACCCAGGACCTATCAATCTCGCGTGCGAGCACTTAACCATTAGATCACTGAGCTGGCATCCGACGGTGTTAATGATTTTAAACACATTCAGATATCACCTTCTTAACCAATAAATATTGGCAAGAACATGTAAACAAGTTGATATACATACACCTAGTTGACTAAATCCTATTCAGAATAAAACTTAAATCCTGAAATACATTTACTAACTATAATTTACTCTAAAATTTCAGATATTAGGGAAGAATTCTGATAGACTGGTAGGTCCTGGGTCCGAATCTCGTGAGGCGGGATTATGGATGCGTACTGTTGAGAAGTTCCATACTAGGATGATACAGCCGTTCAATACTTTCAGATTTTCCATGGTAGTTTAGCTCCAATTATTAAAGAACTCTTTATTTGTCAAATGAATTAATTCAGTGGTTAAGATCATGAGTCAGTTTAAGCTAGACCATCATGGAAAACCTGGAAGCACTGGATGACCGTTTCACCCTAGTATGAGATTCCTTAGCAGTGTGCATACGTGATCCAGCCTCACGAGATTCGAACCCAGGATCTATCTCACCAGTGGAGTCCATCCGGTTCTGTTGTGAGATGGTAACTCACTGATGATAATGGTGGATGTGTGGCTCAATTTCGTGGATTCGTAGAAGGTAGACATTAAAACCGCTGGATGCCGACTGGCTTAGTGGTCTAATTGTTCAGTTCTTGCGCGCGAAACCAGTAAGTCCTGGGTTCGATTCTCGCAGGGGGCGAGGCTGTGGATGCGCACTGCTGAGGAGTCCCATAATAGGACGAGACGACCGTCCAGTGCTTCGAGGTTTTCCATGGTGGTCTAACTTCAACTGACTCATGATCTTAACCATTGAAATTACTACACTCTCCACAAAACCCCTTCTGAATTAATTCAGTTTAATACTGAATATCAACTATGGGATATATATAATTGTTTATAACTAATAACAATAATGTACTTCAATTGTCGTAATTCTGTTTGTTGGTGTTGTTAATGTCGTTGTTTTTTTTTATTTTAAAAAAATCATTTATCCAAACTATTTATTCCATTTAATTTCAGCCGATCAGATAAACAGTGAATTGGATTTGTAATGGGTAATAGGACGAATTCACCGCTGAAACGTAATTCATTAGATTAGATTACATTGCATTATTATAAATACTAATACCGATGCTATTATTATTACCATTATTATTATTATTATTATTATTATTATTATTATTATCATTATTACTATTATTATTATTATTATTATTATTAGTAGTAGTAGTAGTAGTAGTAGTGGTAGTAGTAGTAGTAATAGTAATAGTAGTAGTAGTAGTAGTAGTAGTAGTACGATTACAAATAATAACTGTAGTAATAATTAGATTTACCGTTTATTAATCCCATTAATGTATATACAGAATTATAAAACAACAAATGGCATAATTACCAGACAGATTACATATTATTTCATCAAAACTGTAGATAGTAACTAATTGAAATTAGTCACAAAATAATATTGAATGTTTAATAGTGATAAGTATTTTATGAAACTCATTAGTTTTGTATATATATATAGATATCCTATTCTTTAAGGTTAATAAGTCTTTTAAAAGATGGTATAATTTTTCAATTGAGATCATGAACCGATTGATGTTAGACCACCGTTGGAAACCTGGAAGCACTGGATGGGCGTTTCGTCCTATTCTGGGACTCCTCAGCAGTGCATATTCACTGATACCACTAGATGCCAGTTCAGTGGTTCAGTAGGTTAAGCGTTCGCTCGCGAGACTGTAGCCCCCGGATTCCAATCCAGTGAGTGGGATTGCTGATGTGCACTGCTCAGGTGTCCCAAAATAGAACGAAATAGCCATTCAGTGCTTTCAAGTTTCCAACGGTGGTCTAACATCATTCGGTTCATAATCTCAATCGAAAATTTAACAATCTCCACAACTCCTATACTAAAGATGTATAATTGTACATAAAAGCTTGTACAATCATTTGGGGGGGGGGGTCACATTGCAGATAATGTTGTTGTTGTTGTAAAGTTGGTAGTCGATGATTATCCATTCTATGTCCTAGATGATGAATTCTTTCTATGACAAATCACATTAACAATATTGTATAGCTCGTAAAAAGATATTAGATAACTGGAAGAATATTCTGTAGACAAATTAGATCAATGATTACAGATATCACAATAATCTGAGTTAGAATTAGTGGAAAAGCTCAATTATCTAATTAAATAGATGTAGAAAATACAGTGAACATTGGTTAAACAAATGAGTTTATGAAATATTAATACTCCAATCTGAGAATATTCTGTTGATATGAACACCAGTCATGCTTTGATTTTGATTATATTTAGCTACGGTACAATATAGTTTATGTTAAAATATTTTATTAACTAACTTCTAACACGTTCGACAACAGATGCCATGAACTTGTAGTTTTAATGAACAAATTGTCTTGATCATACTTCGGTACTATTTTTTTTTAACTAATTTGTTCCAATGTTAAAATGTACACTTATTTGATATGTTTACCAGATCATTAGCTCATATATTCTTTCTTCAAGATGCTCTCTTACACACTACTCTCTCTCTCTCTCTCTACTTATCCTTCTATTGAATACAATGAACCATTAATTAAATGTCATAAGTTTTAAGGTAACATACGGTTAACCGTAGTTTTCTTTTAGCTTCTTATCATTTTAACTTGTTTCTTTTATTTTTCAAGGGGGTTTATTTACCTCGACTACTCATTGCTTGTTTATACATTTCTGTCTTTTTTCGATACAACTTTCTCGATACACTTGACTGACAGTCAGAATGTATATATATATATATATATATATATATATATATATACACTCACGCTAATATTCAATTAAAATAGCTATTCAAGCGTTATACACACATTATATCATGCATAATCTTAGGTAATTCCATAGATAGTGAAATCAGCATAAATAGTTAACTATTATCATTACTTTCTTCACTTATGAAACTTTTTGTTTATTTTCTCATTAATCCTAAAATTCGTTTTTACTTCATTACAATATCTTTTATGAAAAGTTAGATTTAAACTTGTACACTATTGGATTCGAACTTAGGGGTTTAAAGTTTGTGGGTTTAACTGTGAGATTGAAGATCTTTGGTTCGATTATTGATTAAATATCATGAATATACACGGAAGAGAAACTTTATCCTAAAATAAAACCGGCATCTGATGCTTTTACTTTTTAATGGTATTATTTGCATTTCATACTGATTTCATTTGAAATCCCGTAAGGCAGAATCGTGAATGTACACTGCTGAGGAGTCTTATACTAGGACGAAACGGTCATCCAATGTTTCCAGGTTTTTCTTGATGATCTAGTTTTAATGAACTTATGGATTTAACTATTAAATTATGGTAGATAATCGAAATTTAAAAGAGTAACTATGTAAAATAA